GTTATTATAACACGGACTTTTAATATGTTTTTAAAGAAGAGCTTAATTTTATTGGACAAAATATTTACTACATGTAGCAAATATTTTGTCCAATAAAATTAGGCAGCCATTCCCGGTGTTGGCTCAGATTTTAGTTTATTTTCATTGTTGTTATTATTAATTTTTACGTGCTCTTTTCTACTTGTATATTTCAATGTGTGTGACATATATAACATTTGAACTAAGAACGGGAATGGCTTCCTAATTTTATATTTACAAGATGTAGTCCTCTTCTTTAAAAACATATTAATAGTACATATTATAACAACTGTAATATAAAAATATATGCATAATATGCAAACTATGCAAATACCATATGCCATGAAAACTAGGAAACGAGAAAAGTTTTAAAACTTACTTAACATGTATATCCAATCGAAATAGGAAGTCTTTTGTAAATAAAAACACGGGGAAAAATGATGCGAGCATAAGAATCAGATTTAAAAACAACGTTTAAACTAATAAATAAAACACTTATATTTCTTGCATATTTTTGCGATAATGGCTTCTACAGTTGCATTACAGACTCTACTCCTTAGCGTCCGTAATGCTCTTTAAGACTGCTTAAAGAATAAACTAGATTATTTACGCAAATAAGGATGACCCTATCCAAGATCCTAATTTTCTAGTTTGAGTAGTAAATGGTACAAAGTTCAATTTCAAGATGTGTCCCTATCATATTCAAAGTGGCAAAACAAACATAGCCCTGATCAATACAATCTATTGTATTAATCAGGGCTATGGAGTCGGAGTCGTGGAGCCGGAGTTGCAACATTTGCAACGGAGTCGGAATCGGAGTCGCTAAACAAAATCGCGACTTAGTAAAACTTCTTGGTATTACACGTGCATGTACAAAATATTTAACTTCAATGAATTTCTTATATATTTGGCTAGAAAAATTTTTTTATTGTGTAATATTTTTTAAAGAATTCAATGAATTTTTCAAAACTTTGTAGTAAAAATATTTCGAAATTGGAGTTGGAGTAGGAGTCGGAGTCGCACTCTAAAAATTTCAACATAAAGTACCTTGGGGCTTGGCTATAGACAAGTTTCTGGATTTGATTTTTTCATAAAAGTACGTATTGGTGTTTGTTTTCAATGAATGTAACTTGACATTTATAATCAGACATTATTTGGAAAAGTTATCCACAAAAATTTTTTTTATAAAAATTGAGTTATTATTTTCAATAGCACCCCTAAATGAGTAAAGTTTAATAATAATGTCACGTTAGATTCATATAGACTATGGTAGTATTAATTTTTCTACGAAAGTTGTTTTTGCATAAATAATCATAACTTTTAGCCCCATTCAAAAAACAGTTTTCGGTATTTTGTATCACATTTTGAAATACTAAGGACTTATTCGGCCATCTTGAAAAAATAAATTATTCCATTCAAAATGCGTAAACAATTAAAAAACAGTGGCGGTAAACATTATAAACAAATTACTTTCATATTCAAACTATTTTCGTTTTTATATCAGTAATAAACTTTAATTGACATTTGGTTTTTTTTATTTTTATAATAATAATAATAATTTAAAAGTAACATTAACTTATTGTCATAAATTCAATTATATCTTTGAGTCGATACAAGTAGCTATTATGGCTTCGGTAATGTATTAAAAGAAATAGGGTAATGCGGGGCAAAATGAGACAGCGGGGCAATACGAGACAGTTCGCGTTTAACATAATGCCAGCCCTACAAATTATTATTTGCAAGATTTTTAAAAGTGCAGTTGTGTTCAAAAACTATTTTGTGTCAAGAAAAATATATTGAGTCACTTTGAAATAAAAAAGTTGAGTAAAAGGGGAGTCATTTCATCCCTTGACTTCGCGAAAATTACGAATTTTTAAGAGTTGTTATTATATTTTTTCCTATCCTTTTTTGATCTCACTGAGTGGAAAAGCTTTTCATATTTAAAGTTTTTTTTTTAATTTGAATCTTTAGGCTTTTTCCATTCTTTGGTATTTTATTTCTTCAATAAAATAGTCTAGAAATTAGGCTATTCGATGCCAACATGATGCGGGGCAAAACGAGACATTCTGTTTGTATTTTTTTTGCCGATATCTAATATTATGTTTATTTATTTTTTTACATTAAAACAACAACCAAGGCAGATATTAATATTTACATGCTGTAGATTTAAATTTATTATACTGTATTTACTTACTTTTTATTTTGTTAATTGAAATGTTTAGTTGTTATTCAATATAGAATTACGTTTTATATTTTGTTAACTTATATTTAAATATAATAAATATTTAATCAAATTGAAGCAAATAATTGCCTGATGTTTATAATTACAATGTTTGTATTTTATAATCTTATTGTATTGTAATGTAATAAAGTAACTAGTATATATTATATATAGTGAGTAGATTATAACATAGGTTATTGCAGTACCTATAAACAAAATACAATGAATGTTATGCGTTCTTTAAATACATAAGTTTAATATATGCATGTATGGTTTTATTAGTTTTTGTAGTGGATATATATATATATATATATATATATATATATATATATATATATATATATATATATATATATATATATATATATATATATATATATATATATATATATATATATATATATATATATATATAAGTGGAGTCAATTTCCAAAATGCACAACCTGGGCTCATTCGGACTGTTGTTTGTTTCAAAAAACTGGTTAAGCAATATGTGATTGATGTGACTAGTGACAGTTTGATTATAGCTGTAATATATTATAAAATGTACTTCTTGCTAATCCTTTTATAGATATGTTTTTTTTAACTTTATTTATTTAAATTACTAAAAAAAAAAATCTGTCTCTCGGTATGCGGGGCAAAATGAGACAGGATAGGTGCTGTCAATAAATGACTTATTATATTTTTCATACATATATATATATATATATATATATATATATATATATATATATATATATATATATATATATATATATATATATGTTATATGTATGCATATTCATACTTGCTTATATATTTAAGTTTTTAGATTTTTTTTTTTCGGGACATTTTTTTGATATTTGAATTATTCATAAGATATTGGAGAATTTCCATACAACTGCTTGTATCTAAGACAAGTTTTTTAAGATTAGCTTTTAAGAAATTTATATTTTTCAGGAGGGATATTGAGGAACCTTTTGCTATTAATTTGTTATAAAAGTAAGGACCACGATATGCTATAGAAAATTGGGATAGTTTACTTTTTTTTCAACGGTACTATATAGTTTCCAGTTGCTTTAGTGCTAAATTTATTTATATTAATTTAAAAAAAAGTTATTTATAAATCGACTTGGAACATTTCCAATTTTATGTTTAAACATAAACAAAATATCTTGATATATTTTGATTTAGTAAATGTTTAAAGCATTCATCTGTTTTAGTAATGGGTTTGCCTGAGTCATTTTGTTTTTATAATATATAACTGTTGAAGCGAGTTTCTGCCGTCTATAGAGTTAACTTAATTTTTTATGGGTACTTACCCATGCTATATTGGCGTATGATAGGTAGCTGTGTATAAAGAAAAAATAAAAATGTTTTAAATTTTTGAACGATAGATAATTTCTTGCTATATAAAGTAAACCAATTTTTTTTGAGATTTTTGTATTAATGGTATTTATGTGAGAGTTCCATGATAAATTTTCGTCAAGAAGTACACCAAGAAATTTAGATGATTGAGTTCGTTCAATAATTGTGTTGTCTATACTTAGAATTGGTAAAATTGATAGGGTAGCCTTTTTTTTTTTTGGTTGGGGTGAAATAACATGTATTTAGTTTTTTTTTAAATTTAATGACAATTTGTTAGCTCTGAACCATGTGTTAAGTTTAATAAGTTCTAAGTTTGCGGTTATAAATGGTCACTGATTGAGCTAGATAAATAAAACAGATTAGTGTCGTCTGCAAAAATTATGCAATCAAACTTAGATGAGACTTTTGGGAGATCGTTGACATAAAATAAAAATAAAAGAGGAGCTAAAATAGATCCTTGAGGGACCCCGCATTTGATTTTTAGTTGATTCGAGTTGTTATAGTGATCTATAGTAACACATTGTTGTCTGTTGTTTAGGTAATTAGCAAACCATTTTTCAATTCTTTTTAGTAGTATTGCGTGGTCTACTGTTTCAAACGCCTTTGTAAGATCAATAAAGACTCCTAATACAGATTTTTCATCACTAAAGGAAGTTGTAATGTTATTAATGAAATCTAGGATAGCATGTTCCTTTGAATGTTGCGTTTAAAACCCATACTGATTTTCACTTTTAGATTTTGTGTTCCATTAAATATTTATACAGTCTGTTATAAATTATTATTCAAGGAGTTTCAAAAATATAGGGAGAATTGAGATTATTCTGCAATTGCTTATTGCAGATGTATCTTCACCTTTAAATATATGTACAATTTTTGCTATTTTTCATTTGTCTAAGACAATCCCATTTTTGATTGAAGAGCTGAAGATATTAAAAATAGGCTTTTTTATTGAAGAAAAGACATAAAGTACAACATTTCCAGAGTCATCAATACCTGGGGCCTTATTCTTTTTGATTGATTTGGTTGCTGTTTCTAGTTCATTAAAATTTATATCATTATCTGGCAATGAACTCTCAAAGTCACTAAAATAATTTGCAGTTACCACTGCGCAAAATGAAATATATATAACATAACTCCAACTGCTATTAAAGGTAGCATACTTTTTAAAATATACAAACAAAAATATGTTAAATTGTAATTTGATTTATAAATTATGTCAAACAAACACTTCAAGATATCTTTATAATTATATTGATATATCTCCTGCAAAACTGTCATGACGTTTCGGTTGTTTATAAAACTTTGCCATTATTTACAAATTCATTGTTTGCATGAATTAAATACCAACAAATAAAAAGTTGTTTGGTTTGTCACCATTAACCAATTGGATTTGTTTAAAATTATACGAGTTTGCTTGTTCTATGCCTTAGTTGCATTGAGTTTCATAACGCCTCTAAAGTTCCATTTAAAAAATTACTTCTTTTAACCATTTCACATATCGCTCTTTATCAAAACTTTGTTGGTTTTTAGCCATGATAAATTAGATACTAATAGTATCAGTGGGAGTAGTGTTTTGGTAATTTTAAGTAAGTTTGGTAATTTTAAGATAATTTTTTGGTAAGTTACGATCTTCACTTTTTTCCTACATTACATTAATTTTGTGACCAAACCTCTAAAATGAATTTGGCTAATTGTTAATACATTTATAAATTTTGTGACCAAACCTCTAAAATAAATTTGGCTAATTGTTAATACATTTATAAATTTAAGCTTGTCATACTTTTAGAATTATAAAAAATTATAGAACTAGATTAAATCAGCTTTGAGATCACAAATTTTAATTTCCTTTTGCCCCATTCCCCGACCCTCATTGCACATGACCTATATAGGTTTTATAAATTACGTTATGTTTAGTGGTATATATACCACAAAATGTGACGATTACAATAACTTTGATAACGAGCTTTTACTGTAGAACGTTTGTCAAGGCTTTATAATAATTTACCATCACCCATCAATTGAACCTGTCCAAAACTTTTAACAGTTAGTTTATAAATTTAAATTAAAAATTTCTGAATGATTTTTTTTTTTATAAAAAATGTAACTTAAATAAGTTATAATCAGTTGGGTGCAAAAAAAAAGCCACACTATTTTTTTTTTTATATTTTAGGCATAAAATGTATAATAATGCAAAACAAAAAAAAATTAGATGTGGCAGTGAAAAATATAGATCAGAAAAGGTATGTTTATATATAAACTAATATTTATATAAATAAAACCTTTAAAAAACAGATTATTATGGACACATTTAATATTTTAGAAAACATCTTACAGATGTAGAAATTGGATGAATTATTGAAGCTGCTGACCAAGGAGAGTCTCACAGAAGCATTGGAAAGCGTTTTAAACGAGAAAACTCAACTATTAGTAGATTGGTAAAAAAAATACAAACACACTGGTAAAACTGAAAGGGCTGTTGGATTTGGGAGAAAACCGAAAACTTCAAAAAAGGAAGATCGCTACATTCTTAATGCTGTCAAAAAAAAAATCGTAAAATCACTTGTTCTGAGATAAAACTAGATTTGAACCTTACTAATATCTCAAAGTGGACAATATCTCGCAGGATTAAAGAATTATTTTTAAAAATTATTTCTTTTCTGGAAAGCAAATTAAAAAATCTTTTGTTAGTGAAATCAATCGAAAAAAGCGTGTAAAGTGGTGCATTGAGCACAAAGATTGGACATGTGAACAATGGGCTAACGTTATCTGGAGCAATGAGTCTCCATTTTTTTTGTATTATAATGGTCGATCTCAATGTTGGACATTAATTTGGAAAAAATTCAATCCTCAAACGTGCAAGGCAACTATTAAACATGACAAAAAGATTAATGTCTGGGGTTGTTTTAGTGCACACAAAGTTGGAAAACTTTACCGGGTGAAAGGCATTATGGACCAGCATTTTTATCACAAAATTTTAGTTAACCAGCTTGGACCAAGTATAAAAGAACTTTTTCCTAATGGTGACTATATCTTTCAACAGGATAATGATCCCAAACAAACAGCACGGTTGAATAAAAGATATCTAGAATCTAAATTGATTCCAGTTATGTCTTGGCCAGCACTGTCTCTTGATTTAAATCCAATAGAAAACCTTTGATCTATTTTGGATAAAAAATTGCAAGATTGTAGGGCAACAAATGAAGATGACCTGTTCCAAATTCTTCTTGATGGTTGGAATGCTTTGCCAAATGACTTATTAAAAAGACTTGTAGATAGTATGCCTTCTAGATGTGCGGAAGTCATAAGAAACAAAGGATGGCCAATTAAATACTAAAACAGCTTTAACATAAAAAATACTTTACAAATCCTAATTTCTTTTTATTATATGTAATATGCAATTATATTATAAACATTTTTATCAATATCGGCTGTAATAGAAGTAACATTATATGAGTTTTAGACATTTGTTGTTGTTGTTTTTATAAAAAAAATTGAGTGTGGCTTTTTTTTTGCACCCCACTGTACGTTCTTTATTTATCTACTTCTATGTTTAGTTTCTTTACCAGCGTAGACATTATTTTAATAAAAATCATGATTTTGTTGACTTTGAAAAGTTTTAATAAATGGACTTGTACCCTTTTCGAAAAGACAGGTTCAATTGTTGAATTGCTTAATTTTATTATGTAACTGTTACACAACTTAACTATGCCATTCAACAATAGTGTTAAACATAATTAAATCTCATAAATTTATTATTCAAAATCAAGATTTGTTTAAATAAATGATGAAACCATCGTCAATAGTAACCCTTGTTAATTGTTAATAGAATTAGGCTATAGAAGATTTATTGATTTAAAAAGATTTATTGATTACAAAAGTTTTATTGACTGTAAAAAACATAAAAATATCTATATATTTATATTAATAAATATTTAATATTTATTTATTATATATTTTAGAAGATCTATTGTATTTTATTTTTTGTTTTTCAAATATAAATTATAAAAGCTCCCGTAAACTAAGAAGACTGGGAGCGAAGCAGCTATTTGTTATCAAACGCGTAAAGCATCGCTATTTAATTCTTTTAGCTCGATTGGTTCAAATGCTTATCACAATCTAAACAAGTTGCTTACAAAAGAGCTAAATAATCTTTAAAACTTTAAGTTAAATTTAAATGCTTGCGCAAGATCTTCTGCAAACCCGTACTGTGGAGGAGGGGGTGACATCGGGTGCGGTCGGCCTTATTTTTTTTAACAAAATACTCTTGTTTTATGTTAGTTTTCTTGTGAAAGTTATAGAAGATTTATATAAAAAAAAATTGTATAACTTTAAACTATTTTTCTACTATTTTAAACTGCCCTCTTTTTTTTTCAAAAACAACCCTTCTCCCTGAAAACTTTTATGATACGGATTTGTTCTATATATATTATTCATAATTATACAGAACAATTTGTTCTGTATATATTATATTTTTAATTTGAAAACATTAAATACAGAAATAAGGATTATTTTGGGTTTTTTTAAAAAAAAAAATTGTTTTTTCTTTTTTGTATTGAAAGCAGAAAAAAATTTTCTAGAAATTTGTGTTCATATAGTTAACCTTTTATAAGAACATTGTACAATCAAACAAAGTCAAACAAAGGTTAAATTAATTGGTTATAAAAATATTGCTAATAATTGGTAAATAAAAGGGTTAATTGTTTGGATGTCAAGAATCAAGTTAACAACAACAACAACAACAAAAAAAATCAAATTGTTAAAAAATTGATGAAATTCCTTATGGATTGGCTAAGACTACTCAACTCTTTGTCGCCGCGGTCTTTACTTTATAATCGTGTGTAAATTTTATGCTTTGAAAAACGTGGAATAATGCTAATAATAATGTAGAATTAGATATTTTTGGTAATAAGACCTGCAAAGCGTAAATATTGTAAAATAACAATTCATAGTTGCAATCATACGTTACTTACAAAAATAATTCGTTTATAGGTTAAGTGTCTATGCTACCCTCTGTTGCATCAGCTGTAATCACATTGTACATAAAAAATATACTTTAAAGATTCAGCTTATATGGGAAAAATTACATTTATCTAAGCTTCATCCTTATTTATTTAGTTAAAGATTGGCTTTATATTTTTACAAAAGAAAATGGAAAACTAAATAAGTTAAATAAAATTTTTTAAATTCTTGATCATTACAAAAATTGTACTCAAACCTGAATAATATATTATAATATTATTCAGATAATACTCTAAATACATTTAGTGCGACGCTTAGAAATTATGCGCCCTGGAGCATGGAATAATACCGCCTTACTACAACATATAAAACTGATTGTGTTCATCGCTAGAAGCTGCAGCAACTTTTCTTGGTGATTGAAATAGATAACATTAAAATAATGCAGCAAACTTCCAACACGGGTATGTTTATATTAAATAAAGATCTTTTGAAAAAAATCGCAGTGATTGGAGAATAAGTAAACACCCAGAACCTCTAGCCTCTCAATCCTAAATATTCAATAAGTTACTGAGTTTTATACTATTCTAAACTAAGTTTAATTCATCAGCAGATTTTACAGAATTCATTTAGTATAATTTAGCTAGGAAAAATAAAAAAAATAGGAGGATTAATAAAGTACATAAGCAGTAAAACCACTAATTTCAACCCCCTCCGCGTTGTACGCATCTTTATGCTTTCATCTACCCCCTTCCTTTCCTCTGCAAACGTACACATATTTATTAAAATTCTCCTTCCCTCCTTTCTCAACTTTACATTTTTCTAAACTTTAAAATCAAAAAATATTCGACATTTTTCTATTACATAACATAATATTGATTTTTTTAAGTCGTAAGATTCAATGCTTTTGTTAAAAAAAAAAAGAAAAAGAAATCAATTTTGTAGAAAATTAGCAAACAAGAGATAACGGGTTAAACCACACAAGTACTCACATTGTCTTTAACTCACTTATCCTCGTTGTACGTATTTGTACGTTTTTAGGTATTTCCTCTCCGCACAACTGTCTACGTACTTTATGGAAGACCACCTAGTTAAAACACTATTTGAAATTGTTTTGCCTGCCAGTATGCGCACGCAAAATGTTTATATTTTGTTTTATACATCACATGAAATTGGTCTGTAAAGAACGGTTCAGGATCGTTAAATCTAAAGCGAAAAATTTACTGGTTTCTATTAGTATTTTTTAACTACTAGAAATTTTTTTTTTTATAAAAGCGAATTATTAGAAGGATATCTATCTATCTACCTATCTATCTATCTATCTATCTATCTATCTATCTATCTATCTATCTATCTATCTATCTATCTATCTATCTATATATATATATATATATATATATATATATATATATATATATATATATATATATATATATATACATACATATATATATATATATATATATATATATATATATATATATATATATATATATATATATATATATATATATATATATATATATATATATATATATATATATATATATATATATATATATATATATATATATCATAAATAAACTTTACGCGGGAATGGGGGGAGGAAAGGGAGGAGGAAGGGTTCATAATTTGAGATTTATTTGATCCCAGATTTTTTATCACTTTTTGCAAAGCATGCTCAGTAATATCGGCATAAAAATTTCCAAGTTTGAAGTTTGATATATATCTCAAACACCAAAAAACGTTGTTACATCATAACATTTCGTCATAAAGTTTTAAACTAAGATGGTACACTGGCGATTGTTGTCACTTTCAACATCGGCACTTTAACATAAGAGTTTGAAAGAAAATAATTTAAAAAAAAAATGTTTATACATGTCCGAAGACACGGGTTTTGAAGTGGATGGGTACAATCGTCAATTTCTAAAAAAAGTCCTCTCTATCTAGATTTTTCTAAAAAAAAAAATTTTGTGTGTGTGTGGGGTACCCCTTTGCCCCCCACCCCATGTTGTCGGCCCTGTTTTATACTTAAATATTTAATAAAAACTATTCAAAAAAGTTACTTTTAATTTGCATTGTTCATTACACATTTTAATTAAGCGTTATAAAACTACGTCTCAGCGTCAAGATGTGTTAGATTAATTAAGTTGTTTTCTGAAAACAAAACGTACGGTTTTAAGTGACTCACAGTTAAAACATATGTATGTAATACATGTGTTTTAAATATGCTAGCTATGAAAAAAATTTAAGAAAATCAATCTTAAATAAATGTTGTTTTTTTTATATATATATATATATAGATACAATATTTATTTTAATTTATGCCAAATTTTTTTAAGTTTTTAGAAATAAATTAATTTAATTAAAAGAGTTATCAAACAGTATAAAATTATAAAGTAGTTAGTAATAATTGTGTTTTTAAAGTAACAACATAGTTAGCATTAATTGTTTTTATGTTCAATTTATGAAGAAAAAAATGCATGAAGAACTAACCAATAGAAACAAGAGATAAATTATCTTTATAGTTTTATGTATAGAATACATAACTGCAAAATAAATAAGATATCTTTATTTAGAGTATTTATATTTGTTACGAGCATTGTGGGAAATTTAGCCTTCCCCATATTTCTTAACGAAATCTAATAATGGCTGATAAAGAGGCGGAGAGCAATAGCACGACTTAACTAATTAGAAAATTTTGATTTGATACAAAATGTAATGTCTGCAGAAACTAACACGCCTAAATCTTCCAAATTGTATTTTCTCTTTTAATACTGCTCTAAAAACTTAAAACATAATTACTTAAGAATTTTGCAAAATAAAGTAGCGTTGTACCCTATCATAATCGCACGAGTCGGTAATCATAAAATATAACTTTTTGTGGAGTAAAATTTTGATAAAAACATCCAATGATAGCTTTAAAAAATGTGGAAATGTGGCAGTGGTTTATTTGCATTTCGCAAAAGGTGGCACCCTAGAAATTTAGACTATCTAGATAAAAGTCACTGTAGTTTAACAACTGTAACCGAAGATATCTTGCGGCATGCTGGAACTCTGGAAGAGTTATCTTTAGAGGGAAATCAGTTAACCGATTTGCCTAAGGTTTAATTGTTTTTCAGTTATCGTACTTTTTGACTATAGCATAAATGATAAAATAAAAAAATATCATGCTTTAGATATTCTTAATTAGTGTCATAATAAAATAGGTAAATGTCAAAGGTTAGTATAAAATCACATTTTTTTAACATCACACTTATTTTTTGCCTTATTTTGCCTTTAAATAGTTCACTTACTGATTATATGAGAAAATTTATTGTGAGATGTAATTGTACATCCAGATGTATATGTAAATCAATATTTTTACAAAGCCCTATTTTCTTAAACTTTAATTCTACACATTATTCATCCAGGTTTTTTATAATAAAAAAATATAATGTTTTGTTTTAAATTGTTTTAAAATTTTAAAACTTCATTCTGTTTAATAGGGTATATTTCGAATGACAAAGTTACGTCGTCTGATTTTAGCTGATAATGAAATACAAGATCTCACAAATGATATAAGCAGTTTAATAGCATTAGAAGAACTAGATTTTAGCAAAAATGGTGAGAAGTATTAAACAGAGTTTCATCATTTATTTATATAATATGTATTTTATTGTGAAATTGTGAAAAAATGAACAACTTTAAACAAGAAGTTTTTTAAAAAAAAAAACAACCAAAAACAGCAACAACAACAAAAAATAAAAAAAAACATTTCATCAAAGAAGTTACTAATTCAGCAATATCTAATTGCTATTGAAATTATTTGTTTACAGTTAATAATGAATTGTTTTACATTGTGAAGTACTTGTGCTGAAAATAATTACAATGTTAATTCAAGTTTTTCTTATTTAAAATAAACAAGTGGTATTAAAGTAAACAAATCACAACATTCTCAGGAGCCATAAATCATAAAAAAAAGGGTTTAAATTATATAAACAACGTCTTTAATATATATTTTTCTAAGCTATGTAATGGGTTGCTTTTGAAGATCTTTGATAACGTAGTTCTTGCAATAAACACCATAGCGTTTTAGATATGATTTTCTTTCAAACAAATTAGGCTCCTTTTTGCACATTTTAATATAATTTTATATTTAAAAAAATCTCTAAATATCCCCTAAATTTGTCATTGAAAAGAGTGCTTAAAACATGTTTAAATTTTTATATATTAAGAGCTATAACAATAGTAAACCATGCAATCTTTATCAAATGTTCTAAAACTAATTGTAGGGTAGCAAGTTTAATGGATTTTATAATGATACAATTGTACTTTTCACTTTCTCATTTTTATGTTATATACTGTATTATAATTTGTTTTAATTCTTTATTGATAGTTGCTGAACCTCTGATAAAATGGATATAACTTGGCTAAAAACTAAGAATAGTTGCAGTTAATTACTTCAAAATCTTTTTTTTAACAGATTTTTAGCGAGTTTTAATGTTTTATAAAATTTAAACCCATTTTGAAGATGATGATTATGGTTATGATGATCATAGTGCTGTTTATATTTATGCATTTACATAAATATATTATAATAATATATGTAACTGCATATATAAACATCATCATCATCATCATCATCATCATCATCATCATCATCATCATCATCATCATCATCATCATCATCATCATCATCATCATCATCATCATCATCATCATCATCATCATTATTATCATCATTCATCATAATATAAACAATCCTGATCTTCTTTACTAAACTGAAGCTTGTACATACCATATATAAATAGATTTCTTCAAGTTTTCTTACCTCTACCTTTTTTGTCTGGTACCTGTTTTTATATGCTGATACCCAAATCATCTGCATCATCATTGCTCAGCATACTCAAACAATCTTGTCTCACACTTTTTCTAATCTCTGTTTAAGACAATGGTTTTTTTAATTTTTATTTTTTTAGAAATACACTGCACATCAGATCATCATTTTCTCTCAGCAAATACTATGCCATATATTTATATATGCCTAATCTATTTTTAGCAGATATCTGCTAAGTCCCACTTATCTGAATGTCATAATTCTGAGGAATCATGTTTATTCAGAGGTTTTAAGTTAAGTAAGTTTAAAAATTTTAATAAGTTTAAAAATACAAATTTGTACCAGGCAGTTTTCTGGGGAAAAGAATCCAATGGAACATTATAGCACATAAGGGTTTTCAGATGCAGATGTACATAAAGTTTACAATCATCAATCTAAAAGCATAAATATAAATTCATTTTTTTCACATAAAACTTTATTAACCTGAAAAAAAAAAAAAAAAAAGTCAAGTTTGTATTATGATTTACATAGACATGTTTGTCAAACTATACATTGGGATATAGTTAGGTTGAGTTTTACAAATTTATCAAGTTTTATTATAATTCTGGTTTCTATAAAACATTTTTTTTATTCAAAATATTTTTAATATTTTGTAAATTTTTGTTTAATTTTAGATGTTAGAGTAGTTCCTGACTCCATACAAAACTGCAAAAAATTAACTTTTTTGGACATTAGTAGTAACACATTAGGAGAGTAAGTACTTTAGTGATTCTTGAGTCAGTCCTCTCTATGTTGATTTATAGACAATAAATAAGGTTTATTATTAGTTTTATAAATTGAAAACATTATGTTAGCAAAGTTGTGTATTTATTTTTATTAAACTTTTAAAAAAAAATATTAATATGTTAATTAAATTAAATTTTTAAAAAGTTTAATAGAAATAAATACATTAAAATGATTGCATTAAAGTTATTAAATTTGAATATATATTTTTTAAAAACTGTAAATTCTATTTTCAAGCAAGTTTTAATTTTTTTTTGTCACTTTTTTCTATTTTATTTTTATTTTTTTGCTATGTATTTTTTGTTTTGGTTACATGTGTTGATGCACATGGTTCAAATTGGGAGAGCATTCAGTAAAGTGTACAAGCATTGAGTTTAAATATAAGAACATGTGAATAGTGTACATATATTGGCTTAAGGTTGGCAATCTTATAGTCAACTTTAATCTTTATTCCAATATATGTGCCCTACTTGCACTTTCTCCCCACTTAAATCAATCAATACACATGCTCATTCATTAATCAATAAAAAATTGTTGTATGTAATATATCATTCAAGGTGCAAAATAACAAATTTCACTATTTAAAATAACATTCCATGTAAAATAACATCTGGCAAAATATCAAGGCAAAATGTCAATTTTCATGAGGCAAAATATTAAGATAAAATTATTTTTGTTATTGTTGTTATATATATATATATATATATATATATATATATATATATATATATATATATATATATATATATATATATATATATATATATATATATATATATATATATATATATATATATATATATATATATATATATATATATATATATATATATATATATATATATATATATATATATATCAGGCCTTGCGATAAAGCGTCGGGCGATGTGAGTTTTACGTCGTCCAAGGGCGATTTTGTGTGTAGCTAGGGCTATTTGCGTCGAGCAAAAAATTTTTTGTTTGAGTATATTTAAAGATATTTTTGAGCGGAATTTTAATGAAGTAATTTACGATTATTTTAACATTTAATAAAGTATTTTAAAAACCACACGCAGTTGAAATAAAAGTTTGAATTTAAAAAAATTAAATATGCTCATTATTTACAAGTAGAAAAAATTCAAAAATTAAAAAAAAAGTTTAAATCTTTTAAACTAACATTTTAATAAAATTATTCAGCAATAGCAACGTTGTCGATAAAATTGAACAAAAATACTTTCTTTTAGTTTTAGATTTTAAACTTAAATAATTATTTTACAGGGGTTTGATAGGTTTTAAAATTATTCCATAGATTTAAAAATATTTATTAACTGTTAGACGTATTTAAAGTATTTAAGAGTGATTTCGAGGAAACATTTTAAAAATTGGTGAGGGCAAATAAAAAAAAAAAAGATTAATATTAAAACGTATTCTACTTTATTCAATAAAAAAGTACAGTTATTAAAATTTTTGTAAAAAGTAACTCAAAAAAATTACTTAAATAATAACAATCACTTTTATGTTAAAAGTTACCGAAGCTCATCGAAGCGTGCTCAAGAACAGCTGCTGAAAAATAGAACGTCAATAGTTTTTCGAATAATTTTTAAGAATAATTTTTTCGCTGAAATATTTCTTTTATACCTATAAGATTTTTATTCTAACATTTTATTTTATTTTACTAGAAATAAAATTCCTTGTTAGCATTAAAAATCTATTCAAAACGTTCGTTTAAGTTTTTTATTAATACGAGTGATTGTGCTTATCAACCGCTTTATGAAAATAAATAAAAATAAATAAATAAATATTATATAAAATCGCTTGTAAAAATATTAGCTATTGCACAGTTTTTAATCGTACAATATTAAAACTTCCAGTTTATTACTCACTGACTTTTTAAAAAGAAAAAATAATTATTTGAAAAACTTTAAATTACATATTTAAGAAAAAAAAAATCAAATATTAGCATATTTTATAATCTTTTTTAAATTTAAGTTATAATGTTTTTTAGTATAGATAAAACGTGACAAACGTCGAGAAAATAAACAAATGTTTTTACATTTTAAAAAACGAAACATTCCAAAACATTTTTAAATAATAACATTTCTACATAAACGATTTAAAGTAGTTTTGTGGTAATTAAATAAATTGGTGCAGTTAATGTCGATAAATATGAAAAGCAAATAAAAAGAATTTAATGACGTCAAAAATCACGTCTTGCTTATGCGTCGCGCAGTTCTTATTCATCGCAAGGCCTGTATATATATATATATATATATATATATATATATATATATATATATATATATATATATATATATATATATATATATATATATATATATATATATGCACACATCATGCCTTGTTTTAAAGAATTACCTAGTTGAGATTTTATCCTAATTTGGTTAGGCTGAATTTTTTTTGTATTCTAATTTTTAAATAAGAAATAGTTTAGCTTTTTAATTAAAAATAGTTTAGAGTTTTTTTTTTTTAATTTATAATCTTTAAAATTTTTTCAAATTATAAAATAGTTTTCTTTAGTTATGGTTTGAGTTGAAAACTTTAATTTAAATTGATAATATAAATTTAATTAAAAAATTTAATTAGAATAAATCATCAATTTAGACTACCAGACTCGCTTACTAAACTTAATCAATTAAAAACTTGGATTGCTAATGATATAGCACTAACAGAAATACCACCTGAAATAGGAAGGTAATATAATTTTTTTATATTCAGCAAAATTATTGTTTTTCATGAAATTTAAAGTCTTATTTTTGATTGTGTGCCATTAATTTTCTTTTTCCCAACTTATTTTTTGTCATTAGTTTTCTTTTTTCCATATTTTATTATTTGCCTAAAAAACTTGAATAAACTTCAATTCTACAACTTAAAAATTTTTTTTTTTATAAACTTTCGACTAATATTTGTATAGATTTAAAGTTAAATAGCTTTCTAGCAGCATTCTCTAGCTACAGGAAGTGTTTGTTATAAGTCAGAAACATGTTCTTTAAGTGTTGTTTTATAATATATGTACTTTTTATAGAATTTCAATATTAGTAAAATGTTGATAATTTGCATTTTTTTCTAAAAAAATATCCAGTATGCAAACTTTTATATTTTATGCTTATATTTTAGAAATTTTGTAATTACATTAATGTGTTTCATTTTTCATTCACAGTGTAACATCATTTTCTTTAAAAATTAATAATTTTTGCTTTAGTTTGTCAAATTTGGTGGTCCTTGAGCTCCGAGAGAACTGCATTAAATTTTTGCCTTTGTGAGTGAATCTTGTGTTTATCATTTATGATTTTTCATTTTATTAATTGTATAATTTATATAATAGAAGTTTGAACTTCTGGAAGTAAAATAAAAATTAATTATCTTATTATGGGTCATCCATAAATTACATCACACAGTTTTTGACTATTTTCGACCCTCTGCCCCTTGTCACAATTTGTAACTCGTAGTAGCAATTCTCATATGAGTCGTAACAAAGCCACTTACCCCTTCCCCTACTAGAGCATGAACAACCTGATATTATAATTTCATAATATCTTTGTGATTATCAAAATCTGTAAATTTACATATTATCTATATAATTAAATATTTAATAATTTTATCTAAATATAATTACATTAAAATGACTTTTAAATGTATTCTTTTATTTTTTTATACAAAATGTCATGTAAAAATTAAAAAAAAATGTTTAAAATCTCAAGACTTGGAATTTAAAATTGAATTTTAAAGTTATAAATATTTAGGAGTTTTATAAATAAAATGCTGACATTTTGACTTTTACAACTAATTAATTTAAAAATTTGATTTGACAGTTTTGCAAATTAAGACAAAAATTTATAATGGCAAAATTATTTGACAAAATTGTTTGTAACTAAGTTATTAATTACAAGTTTAAGATTTAATTATTATAGGAATCTGTTTGATATATACATATTTTTTTTTTAATTATATTTTTTTCATTTATTGTTTCATATTTTTTTGCTAAATGTTGTTTTATGTTTTTTATTGTTTAACATTTAAAATTAAGTGAAATGATAAAATGATAAAATGATTCGAAAGATTATAAAAGGGTTTAATATTTTTTAAAAGTTTTGATTTTGGTATGGTTGTATTATTTTTTATTTCAATTTCTATAGAGTTCAGGTTCACATGGAAATCTAATGGTTTTAATTTAATTTAAATTTTTTTTTTTTTATTCAAAATATTTAAACTTGATAGGACAGGGAAGGCTTTTGTTATAATTTTTTATAACAAAAAATCCCCTTTGGTCATAAATTTTTTATATTTACTTTTTTGTTTAAAAGTTTATTAAATGTTGTCCACAACTTTGCAAGTTGAATAAATGCTGCATGCTATAATGTACTTTACTGCATAAATGCTGTAAAGTACATTATAGTAATCACAACGTGTTAGCATACAAGGCTACTAAAGCACAGTGTATAAATATTGCACATATTCAGTCTCAATGTTTATCTATTGAGTTCTTTATCCTTGTTTTTTTTTTAGATCGTTTTCATTTCTTTCCAAGTTAGAAAGATTGGATCTCGGTGGAAATGAACTTGAAGAACTAGTGCGTAATGTTTTTTTTTTTTTTTTTCAATGTAATTAATTGTTTATTATTTAGGTAATGGATGTTATTTATGTAATTTTATTTTTTTAATTAAAAAAAGTGTCTTTATTAATGGATAAGTGAAGTAAAATTTTATATTAATAGCATAAATAGTTCCTCATAGTACTGTGATCTTATTTCAACTTGGTAATTTTTGACAACTTTGGTAATTTTTTGACTACTTTGCTGGTGACAATATTTACAAATGATTATTAAAATTATACTATTTTACAATATTTCTAAGATTTATGCAACTAAACTGTGATAAGTTTCTGTGATAAGTTGTATAAAGCTATTTAAAAAAATATTTGTTATTGATTCCACTTTTGATTGTACCCTTTTAAACTTTGCTTGTTCTGTTTATGTAAACTGCAATCTGCAAACATATTTTTGAGATATATAAACTGCATATGAGCTAGAAGTCATCTGTATCTTATGCTCAATCTACTGTGTTCATTAAACTTTAAAAGTTCTGCCAATTTATCGTTTAAAGTCATCTCAAAACAATGTGCAACGCAAATTTCTGTCTGAAGTAAAATATTGTCCTATACCAATGTCCTAGAACCAAAAAACAAAACATACAAATTTTTTTATCTTTTTAATCTTGACTATAAAACATCTGAAAAGGTTTTCAATAAAATCAGTTATTCCTTTTGAATCAATAGATATGAAGTAAAATATAGCAAATACATTTGCTAAAAAATATTTTTTTTTGTGCTTAAAAGCTGAAAACATACTTTTTAATTTAAATTTGTTAGTTCAGTAAACTAAAGATTGACAATACTGTTTCCAAATAAATTTTGTGCAGACCTGTCAATCTGTAGTTTACGGAACTAATAAATTTAAATTGAAAAGTTTTTCTAAACCTGCTTTTTTAGTACAATAATGGATAGGTGAAGCAAAGATTTTTGGATAGTACAATAATGAATAGTACAATAATGGATAGATGAAGATTTTTCAGCAAATGTTTTTGCCACATTTTGTTTTCGACTTTTTTTTTTTTTTAAGTCTTAACAATGAGTTATGGTATTTAATAATAATTGTTGGTATTTAACAATGCATTATGTTTCCATTTAACTATGCACTACGAGTATGGTATTTAACAATCCATTGTTATTGTTATGTTGCAATTTTATTATTAAATAGTGTTCAGACTACAAGAAATAAGAGGAAGAGTTGAGATATTAAGTTCCCTTTTAGCATGCAATATTGGTGTAATATTGGTACTATATTTATCTCAATGTTGGCTAAATGTTATTATCTCAATCAATAAAAAAAATAAAAATTTAAAAAAGAGTTCCTTGGGGCAGAATTGAACCTGCAACCCCTATAGCCATGCTTCAAAATTAGGCAGCTATTATATTATAGCTACAATCCACAGGATTACACTGCTATATCAACAAAGAGAAAAATTAAAGTTTCTAAATATTTTTTTGTGCACAAATAGGGTTTTTTAATGTAAAAATGAATTGTTATTATTACTACTTATTATACTACTATTATTATATTGTTATTTTATTATTTATTATATAAACATCAAGGGTTGAATTAACGCATCGCGATTTGCGATATCTGTTAAATTATCTGGTCTTCAAAGTTTTAGTTTATGGAACACCACGAAATTTACAGAATAGACGAATAAACTTTAATTTGTTAGTGAAAATGTTATGAAAAACAAAACAATAAATTTATGACTACAAAAGTAATAATACTACAGTGTTGTTACTTTTATAACACTCTTTTATGTTGCATTTATAGTTTATTGTTTGATCAAACAACACATAATCAAGATATTATAAATAAAAATGATTTAATTAAGTAATTCCAAACTTTAATTAAAGTAGTAATGCATCTTGAAAAAATACAATGGATATTTAAACAATGTTAAAAACCTTAGCAACTTTTACGAATACATATTTTTATAAACAGTTTAGCATTTCTAAACATCTTACTAACGGTCCGGAAAAAATGCGCGTTCACTTTAAAATCATCCAATGAAAACACTGATAATTTACTTCTTAGGAGAAATCTATATTAAAAGGGGAGGGGGGGGGAAGCTATAAACTTAAATTTTGTTTTATTATTTAATCAATTAAATCATAATAAAAGTAAAGACAAAAAAATATATTTCTAAATATACTTCTTTATAACTAAAATTTATTAAATTGAACACCTCTGTTTTTAGTTTTAAGTAAATGTCAGTACTGCTCTCAGTGGCGAAACTGCAGAGGGAAGGGGGGTAGCAGACAAAAAGTGTCCTATTTTTAAGCTAATTTTAGGTTGCATAGGCGATGTGGGGCTTATTTTAAAAATCGTGCGGAGGAGGGGGGGGGAATTTTGCTACTGACTACTCTAATGTGCTTAATACATAGGTAGGTGGGGGTGAGAATTTTAGTCAGGATATATAAAATGGGAGGAGTAAATGATAAAAAAAAGCGGGAGGATTTACAATGAAAGTTTTATTATTTATCGGTTACCAATATATATTTTTTTTAATTTTAAGGCCAATTTTCACTGAATTTTTGTTTTGAGATATAGTTTTTTGTTTATAACAAGTGACTTGTTATAAACAAATAACACGATTTTCAAAATCAGCCCCATATCGCCCATGCAACCTAAAATTAAATTAAAATCAGGACACTTTTTGTCTGTTAACCAAAGCCCCCTCCTCCTCCGCAGTTTCGCCACTAAGAGTAGTACTGACATTTACTTAAAACTAAAAACAGAGGTGTTCAATTTAATAAATTTTAGTTATAAAGAAGTATATTTAGAAATATATTTTTTTTGTCTTTACTTTTATTATGATTTAATTGATTAAATAATAAAACAAAATTTAAGTTTACAGCCTTCTCACCCCTCCCCTTTTAATATAGATTTTTCCTAAGAAGTAAATTACCAGTGTTTTTATTGGTTGATTTTAAAGTGAACGCGCGTTTTTTCCGGACCGCTAGTAAGATGTTTAAAAATGCTAAACTGTTTATAAAAATATGTATTCGTAAAAGTTGCTAAGGTTTTTAACATTGTTTAAATATCCATTGTATTTTTTTTAGATGCATTACTACTTTAATTAAAGTTTGGAATTACTTAATTAAATCATTTTTATTTATAATATCTTGATTAGGTGTTGTTTGATCAAATAATAAACTATAAATGTAACATAAAAGAGTGTTATAAAAGTAACAACACTGTAGTATTATTACTTTTGTAGTCATAAATTTATTGTTTTGTTTTTCATAACATTTTCACTAACAAATTAAAGTTTATTTGCCTATTCCGTAAATTTCGTGGTTTTCCATAAACTGAAACTTTGAAGACCAGATAATTTAACAGATATCGCAAATCGCGATGCGTTAATTCAACCCTTGAACATTAATATGTAAACATTATTTCAAATAATTTGAGTGATGATGTAACAAGAATGTATAATTGCACGAGGGTGCAAATAATGATTTCCTAGAAAAAAAACATTGAAAATTGCAAAATATATATATATATTTATTCCTGAAGAGGACTTGAACTCATAACACTATCACCCCACCCCAAAAAAAGAATGTTATTACTTACACAGCACATCAGGAATAAATTGATGATATAACAAATAAAAATCAAATTTATGGACAAGAAACTTGATGAAAAGTTTTTGAAATGTTCTATATACTAGATACTAAATTAGAAAGAAAAAAAACAAACATTCAATGCAGATCTCAAAACTTTCCTTTTAGATTGAAATTGAAAACAAATATTTCTTTAGCAACAACAGAAATATCTTAAGTACTATAGTAATTTTATTTTATTCAACTAGCTCAAGCAAATGTAATCAATAAAAGTTCAACAAGTTTTTATATCCTTTGTCCAGCTCTGAACTGTAATTTTTTTTCATATATATAATTTGCATATATCCAAAATACAAAAAGTATTTTGGACATATGCAAATTATATATCTAAAATACTTATATCCAAAAGTGTAAGACAGTTCTTTAGCTATATAATACGCTACCATGAATTTTTTTCTTGTTCAATTCAGATCTTTCTTAATCATGGTTTCATGGTGTAAGTTTTTGTGGTAATGAATGGACATTAAGTGGGGTTTTATTTTAATGAATAGATATAGTTATTTTTTTATGGTGATCGATAGTTCTAGCAAAATAATTTATCAATTACCAAAATAAAAAGTTGTAGATCTATTTTGAAAAATTAAGATTGTTGTTATCATGTTATCCTGTTGCATCTTATTAATCAAATTTTTAATTATAAATTTACATAAAAAAATAAGTTTTTTTTGATAATATTTGTATTATTGTTTTAGCCTGATACTATTGGTCAGTTAACATGTCTTATTGAGTTATGGTTAGACAATAACTTTTTGACCACTTTACCTAGTGTAAGTAAATTTTTTGTTTATTATTAATTTGATAAAAGTATAACATGTAGTATATATTTTTTTTTAGAAAAGTATAACATGATTTTGTATATTTTTTTCTTTTAAGGAAATCGGCGAGTTAAAAGCATTACAGTGTTTAGATGTTTCAGAAAATCGCATTGAAGAACTTCCTGAAGAAATTAGTACCTTAACTTCTCTCACAGACTTGCACTGCACTTCTAATGCTTTGCATGAACTACCTCAAGGCATAGGTATATTATTAAATCATATTTATAAATTAATAAATTTCAATCTAATAATCTTCATGAAATTAAGAGTCTTTTATTGAGTTTTTAGCTGTTTATGGAATTTTATAACTTGTATACAAAATGCAAGTTAAAATTAATTTTGAAGTAAAGATTTAAAAAATAATTTATATAAAGTGATAAAAGTTGCTTGAGGTTAACTTTTTAATGACTTGCAAATGGAATATTTTAAAAGGTTAAATTAACTTGCACAGCTGTCTTGTTTCTCAAGCCAACAATTAAAAAGTAAAAAAAAAAAAAGTATAACCTTGTCTAGCTGCCTTTTAGCTTTAGGAAGGTTAATACAATTAAAAAAAAAGACATTCTGTAAGAATCTCTAACTTACCCTAATCACTAAATTTTGACCTATGTAAAATTTTTCTAGTAGCTTTTCCACTCTTTAAACAGTAATTATTTACAGAATAGAATATGGATATATAATAAAATATCTACGCAAATCATAATATATAATATAATACTTACACAAATCATAAAAAAGTATAAATTAGATTATATAAGTATTAAATAATATAAAACATATTAGAATAACTTTTGAAACATTTCTTTAAATGATTTCGCCTTTTTATCAAAGTTTATTTTTGCATTTGTATTTTTTTCAGGATGTTTGATTAAGCTTCAAATACTTAAAGTTGACCAGAATGAAATTGATGAAATAACAGACTGCATAGGAGGGTATGTCTTTGTCATGTTTTCTTTCTTTGTCACGTTTTACAAATACTAGTAATCATTTAGTGTTTTTGTTTACATAAATATACTATTCAAACTACGTCCCTTTTTAAAAAATTGGATGCTAATAGTTTAATGTTGCAATAGTGTAGAGATTGCTTCATAAACGAGAGTTACACTGATAAAAACCGTGTTCTTGGTTATTCTCTATGTGATGGCCTCATTTGCTAAGCTTTTGTTTTGGTGTTCAAAGAGTCAAGTCAAGTCCCTGTTTTATTCCAAAGACCGGGAAGCCTAGTGAAATTGGGTTTGCTCTTAATTACAGAAGGTAAAAGAAAATAAAAAACAGGGTTGCATGGTTTTAACCAAATGGTTTAAACCATGGTTTAAACCAATTAAAAAAATGTTGCTTTAAACCAAAGTAATGTTTTTTTTAAAAAGATTTGAACTTACAACAGGAAACTAAGAAAGGGTTATGTTCACAAATATAACTATCTTCAATATAGATATATATTTTTAAATCCATGATTTTTTTTTTTTTTTAATTTATCAATATGCTTCATCCAGGATACACTCTACCTAATAGAACTAAAATTGGAGGAGAAATATTAGATAGGGTTTACACAGAAGAAATTAAAAAATGTAATGCATTGAATGGGAAAATTGTAGCCATGTCTTTAGATGACTGGAGTAATGTACATAATGAACCTATAGTTTGTATCTCTGTAATTACAGATAAAATTAACATTTTAGTAGAAACAATCAACACTTCTGGTCATTCACATACTGGTGAATATCTTACACAATTAGCAAGAGAAGCAATAGATTTTGTAAGACGTAAATTTGGATGCACAGTAAAAGCTTTGTGACTGACAATGCAACTAATAGGAAATCAATGAGACAAGTATTGTCATCATATGCTGAATCTTTTAGCAAATGATCTTAACATTGAAAATGTGAGCAAGCATGTTAAACAAATGATAAAATATATAAAAAATAATCATTAAGTTTGAGCAATTTATAAGTTAAGGGGAGGAACAAAATTGCCACTTCCTACTGAAACTCGCTGGAATTCTGTATGTGATTCACTTGAAAAATATGTCAACAACTGGAACTTTATTTTTACAATGTTTGAAAAAATAGACTTGGATTTATTGAAAATATTAAAACCAATTGCAGTAGCTCTAGGTAAGTTGAAAAGAGATCAAACAAAAATAAGTGACTGTTGAAATTTTTAAAGATTTGATGAACAGTTGATTATTTTTATCAAACCAAAAAAAAAAAAAAAAAATTTAATCTAGATACCTTCAGACTGTCAGTGATGCTCATTTCCTGGCAAACAGACTTGATCGATTTCAAAAAAACCGGTTTTTTTGCAACCCTGGATACAAACATAAAATATATTACAATTAGCTGCAATTAGCATGTTGAATTCTCCCTTTGCAGCATCCAAAGCAAATAATTTAAGGTACTCATGGAATATCTATGTAAATGTAAGGTAGTTTTAATCTCCCATGCACATGGAATATGTGTATGGGAGATAATCAAAAAATATAAAAATAACGTTACTCAATAGCATATGAAAGTAATTTTAAAAGATTAAACAATTTTTGTTATCAAAACTTTTATTGATAACTGTACACAAATAAGCTCTAAAAAGCACAAATTACTTGCATTACACATTTTAATAAAAGTTTGTTTCAAGACTTTTTGTAAAGGCATATTAACAGTGTAAATTATTATTTTATCATAAATTATTTTATTATCCTCAAAGACCAATAGGCACATAGTTATTTTGACCTGATGTTTTATTTTTAAAATTGTTTTTGCAAGCTAACTAACAAAAAACTCTTGTTTTTTTATGAGTTAATTGTTTTTTTTTTTTAAATCAAAAAAGATGAGTTCTAGCTCAGAAGTAAAATTCACAATTTCATGGGACATTTATTTTTAAATAATTATTTCATAAAAACAGCAGAAAAAAAAGTTCTCAAATGTTATTAAAATAGTAGTATTTTTTTGGTGTACAAAACCAAGGAGTCCATTAGTTTTTACCTCAAAGTCTGTAGTTGTGAAGTATGTGTGGGTGCTTGTTGTGTGTGTGCTTGTATGAGAGAATGTAGTTTTTTTTTTTTTTAGATCTTTATAATAATTTTTATGATATCTGTGATTGTTAAGTTGAAATATTGATTAGATGTTTTTTAATTTTAAATTTATTTCTTTACTTTTAGCTGCACTAATTTGCTTGAAGTTGTTCTTTCGGAAAATGTTATTGAGGTCTTGTTTATTTTTTTTTTAGTTTATTTTTTTTTTTAATTAGTATTTTAATGATTAAGTATAAATTAAAGTTTTTATTATTTAGTTTCTTCCTGCGGCAATTGGTAAACTGTCAAACTTAACTCTACTTAATATTGATCGCAATCGTTTATTTACATTCCCGCCTGAGGTCAACTTTTTCTTTACTGTGTCCTCTATTTATTTTCTTGATAAACAAGTATATATTTAGTGCCTAAACTAAACATTTTTTCAACTAGCTTTTTTTTATTTAGATTGGAAACTGTACTAAACTTAGTGTTTTATCAGCTAGAGATAATCAAATTGTTAAGATTCCAAAAGAAATAGGATCATGTAAAAGTTTGACAGTATTATCACTGTCAGGAAATAAGTATGAAATATTTTTTTGTGCAGAATTTTTTTTGTTGTAAATCATCAAATAAGCTACCACTCTTTTATTCCTATACCCCTACAATAAAGCTCCATTAAAATTATTTTTAGCAATGAAAATGCTTTTTCACTAAAAGTTTTATTTGATGTTTTATAAAAATAATTTTAATAAAGAAGTTATTAGTTTTATTCTCTTAAAATTATAAAGATTCCTCTATAATGTTATGTTTAAGGTTAGAGAGTCTTCCATTTGCAGTTTCAACTTTGCCATTAAAAGCATTGTGGTTATCACAAAATCAGGTCATTGTTATTTATATATAAATACATACATGCATACATATATACATTCATGCATGCATCCATCCATGCATGCATGCATATATATCTACTAGTATAAAAACATACAAGTTAAAGTAGAATAGATTAGGGTTTCAGTACATCAATGAAGTGTTTAGGTTTCGGCAGCTAATAAGAACTTTTTAAGACTTTAAAATTAATAAAAAAAGTTTTTTCAGTATTCTTTATATTTTTCTAAAAATTTTAAACTCAAAATTGAAATAACTATATTTTTATATGTTATTTCTGTATTATTTAAATATTGCTTTTACTTATATCTTTTTATTATTGCAGTCACAATCAGTTTTGAAACTACAAGTTGAAGATGATGAAATTACATCAGAAAAAATCCTTACTTGTTTTTTATTTCCTCAGGAAAAGCTTAAATGTTCTAGTATAGG